GTAGATCCGAGAGAGGAGAAGCTGCGCTTCCAGGCAACCAGGAACATGCCGCAGCAGCAACTCAAGGTGTCGCCTACACTTCTCGGCAATTGGGTCTGCCTTAGGTACTGTTGGGTCTGGCGGCTCAGTGCGGCAATGCTGCATGTATTCCTTTGCAATATCTAGCATCAATGGGGGATTAAGTCTGATGTACAGTTCCATCCCGGTCTGATATGTCCCTACATCTTGTCTAATGGCCTCTGCAGCTTGATCAAGAAAAACAATGGTCTTTGCATGGTTTTTATGCCGCCGCCACTGCAATATGGCGTTGAGTAGGCTCAGCTCCGCGTTGCGCTGATTCGGTGCCTGAATCTCGTTTGGGAATTCAATCTGTTTTGCGGCTTCGTCAAGGTCGCCAGTAAGGATAAGGCAGCGAATCAGGCCCAGTAGAGGTGTTATGCTGCTGTCGGGCGTTGAAGAAGCCTTTTTAAAGGTTGCAATTGCCGCCTTGTATTCACCACGAAACGTCTGCTGGTAGCCCAATTCTGCAAAGTAGTCACCCCTTTGTGACGCCATGCGGTGGGCAACCTCCGCAAACTGCGTGGTGACGCCTAACAGTGGCAGGTAATTCCCGCTAAGACGAGAGAAACACCGTGCGTACTCAAAAAAGAGCGCCGCATTCTTCGGTTCCTTTTCCTTTACTGCTTCAAAAAGCCGAGGTAGCTGTGCTGCGGCGTCCTCATAACGGGCATCCTTCACGAGAAGAAACAGTGTATTGAGCGCCAAAGCCTCGAGATTGGTCTTCTCCTTTGCAAGAATACGCTTTGTTGTCTCCCAGCACTGATCCCAGTCCTCCGCCTTCATGAGGTGTCGCGCCTTCACTACAAGGGCTGGGGTGAAGTTCGGGCGACTCACAATAAGCTTGTTTAGCAGTTGTTGTGCTAGAGAAAACTGGAATTTGCGCTCATAAAACACAACACGGCCCATTGCGGCATCCAAGTCCATCGTTTGCCCGTCCTGATCCTCCATCTCCATGACTTTCCGAAGAAGCGCACCGCTCTTCTCCAAAAAGGCACCACGGCCTGTGCTGAGGTCCACCCAGGCTCGCACCGTCGCGAGGTTTGTATACTCATCACGATGCTCATCAAAGCCATCCTGAAAGCGCATAAGAATGTCACGTGCTCCGCTGGTGTCACCAGCAGCCCACGCAAGCGCAGCCGCCTGTACCCATCCGTCCACATCATTTGCGTGAGAACTGTCACCCAAGGAACGTTCTACCGAAGAAAGTCCCTCCGTATCCTTGTTCCTGCGGTATATGAGCGCAATCCCCATCAACGCAGGAATATTGGTTTCCCGACGCTGTTCCGCGGCCTTATACTCACGCAATGCCTCGTTCGATTGACCCTGCTGGTCGTAGCACAGCGCACGCCAAACACGCAAGACCCAACTGTCAGTGCTCTTAATGGTCTCGGTGCAGACAAGCTCCGCGTGGCGCCACAGCCTCTCTCGCACGTAGAACATCATAAGAGCATAGTTATTTCGGAGTAAAGACGACATCGCACAGGCCTCGACTCCACTCTTCTTTTCTCTATCTTCTTTTTTTTCCCCAGTGCCTTGCGACAGCGTTCCGACTCGGTCAAGGGAACAGTTGCTGTTCCTCACAATCAATGATGGAGAAATATCTATTCGCAACCTCTCCGTGCGTTTTTTTGTTTGCGCGTGCAATAGATATATATATATGTACTCGCCCCTTCCCTCCCTGGCGGCGCTACGCGGCTTGTAGAGCCAAGCGTCGATACAACTTTTGAGGAAGCAAGAAGAGAAGATGATGGCGTGTGCAGCAGAAATTGGCTCAAAATAACAAAGTTAAAGTGAAAAAAAAAAAGAAAACGCACCTGCAGCGACGGCACAGACGCACACCATCTTTTTTTTTTTTTTTTGCCTCCACTTTTGGCCACGTGATAAGGCCGTCTTTCCACGTAAGGAGAGCAAATGACAAAGAAAGAGAGCGGAAAGCAACCAAAAGAAAGAAACAGCTGCCTGCTCTCGCCCTCTCAAGCCCACCTTCCCGTAAAGGTAGTGCAAAGCGGTAAAAAAAAAAAAAAAAAAAAAAAAAGGTCTGCAACGTCAAACAAGACAAACAAAAAACGCCATGGCGGCAAAGACACGTTCGAAACAAAATAAAAAGGAACAAAAGACAAAAAGTAAAAAGGGGGTGGGAAACGGTGCATTCAAATTATGCGCACACTACCCTGAAGACAAAAATACGTCAACACAACCCCTTTCTACCAGTCCCAACGTAGTACCTACACAAACACACAAAGAAACAACAACAAAAAAAAAAACTCATTGTCACGCACACGCACTCTCTCTCTCCCCCCATATATATATACCCACCACAAACACGACTATCCTTTTTGTTGGTGGTTTTGGTCTACTGAAGATTAGCGTCATTTTTGACTCTTCTATCCCCATTTTCCTTCCGCGGGATCGAGTTGGTCTCCTTTGTCTTCCCTGAGTCAATGCCACTTTCTCCCTGCCCACCAGCACGACGGGGTGCTGGAATGGATATCATCGATGTGGAGGAACTCACGGTCGCAGTAGCCGCAGAGGATTTTACGGGCAGTTTGGCGGCGTCGTTTTTGGCGTTTTTCCCTGAACCCTCCCTATGGGAGCTTTGTGCCGTCCCTTTTGCCGCGGAAGGCAATAGCGGTGGTCGTTGCGATTGTTGCTTCTGTACTTCTTCTTGTTGCTTTGGTTTCTGCTGCCGCTTCTCTCGTTCTTGTGGCGATGGCGGTGACGGCGGCAGTGGCGGCGGGGCTACTAGACTCCAACCGAGCTGCTGGGATTCCGCCTCCAGCAACTCTTGCTCAGTTTGGACAACAGTGACTCTTCGTGTGATGCACATCCACTCCGCCACGTATGCTGGTGCCACAAGCACTATAGGATGATAAAGCTCCACATACTGTTGATCCCCCATACGCGCCTTGTCTCCTGCAAAGCAGCGATACTCCTGGAAAATCGACACAAGCGACCACCCCTGCAACAATCGCAAGCAGGCCACTACGGCCCCCGTTCGGTGTTTCCCTTTATTACAGTGAATAAGGATGGGGTGCGTACGGGTATCAACGAGAGCACTAAGAATGCGGTGCATCAGCGGTTCCGATATGTCCATAAATGGCTCCTTGTTTCCCTCCGTAGCAAAGCGAAGGATACGGATGTCATTTTCCTCACAAAACTTGACGTTGCTCTCTGCATATTCCTCTGGGCAGAGGTAAAGAATTGTACGAAGCCGAAGTGCACGAAGAAAACGGAAATTCTTCCTTGTCGGGTATCCGGAGCGGTAAACGCCGGGGCATACCATAGCGAAATTGATGGACGGCACAAGTGGCTCCTGGATCGCAGACGGCATTTGACGAGGCGCCAACACCGATGACAAAGACAACGGTGCTGTCATTAAAGCAACACCACTAAGTTTTCTGCACACCAAAAACACTTTTGATGATTTTTGACACCCCCCACAAATGTTGGGAAAACGATAACAACGCTGAGCGGGGAAAAAATTCCCTCGCTCACAATTCGCTGAAACGCGGCACAAAAAAGAATATCCCCCACTCTCCTTCACACAGCGCTGCTACAGGAAAATTAAAGGTGAGGTGATTTGAGTCTTGTGCCTGTGCCACGCCGCCAACTCTACTGTGCAGCAAAAGGAGTTTGTTATCACCCCCGCCTCTCACGCCAGCGTTCTTGCTGCTCCCTCCCCAACGGTTCCCGCACTGCCAGCAAAAACGTTTAAAAAAACTTATTCCCCGCCACCCATGAACACACACAAAAGAAAGAAAAAAAAAAAAAGGAAAGATAAGGGAGAAGTGTAAAACCAATAACAGCATTGCAATGCAAAGCCCATAACAAAAAAGTCAGTGAGTAAAACGGAGCCAAAATGCAGAAAATCATTTAAATGAAATAATTAAGTACGATACAGAAAAACGGAGAAACCCAATTCACAGAAAAGTGAGACCTCACCAAATTGAAACAGACCTCGGAGTCCTTAAAGCAGATGGCAACCGTCGTTCCGATTGTGCCCCATCCAAAACACGCGGCTGTGAAGGGAGTGAGGTGCTAACATACCTCCTCCCGTCCGCAGGCCAGAATGCACGTCTACCTTCAGAACCATCCTTTTGCTTAGCTTTTCGTGCTTCAAGAGTGTCAGGTTGGTTATCCGACATGCAAACGGCTTGCTCGTAATTTGATGGCGAAGCGAGTTGCCCCGCAAACTGCCTTCTCACCTCATCTGGAATGCGTGCGGTTGGTGAAAAACAGTCGAGCGGAGCAAAACTCGGAGGACGAAGTTGTATGGGAGTCGGCTCAATGTACTGAGGAACGGAAGCAGCGGAAGAACGAGTTTTTGGAGTACGGGCATGTAAGGACGGAATGCGCGGTGAATGAGGACTCCCAGCGGGCTGCATTGGGAAAGACGCCGTAAACGGCGAAGACAACAAAGGTGGGGATTGTCCCAATTCGATCCGGCACAGCAGCGCACGGCGATCAGAGGCAAACAAACGTTCCACCTCATCGAGGGCTGTAAGGTCAGCTTTGTCCACTCGAGCCTGCTTGCGACAGGAAAGATTGCGCATAAAACCGGCGACTCCATCACCATCATAATCACAACCAACGTCTTCCGTCACACATATTTGCTGCCGCACGGAGTTCAAATCAAGCCCGGCCGCAGCCGCAAGGCGCTGCGTGTGTCCGTCAAGAAGAAGGGCTGGGCACGTGAAAAAAACACGATACAAAAGCGCGTAAAGTTTTTGGCTAGTCGCCCCCTTTTCAGCCTGCTGCTTCTCGATGCCATGGCGGGATAAACTCGGAGCACTCCGCGCCAGTGCTCCACCCAAAGGGTCAAACTGAAAGAGGGCAATGTTTAAAGCTTCGCTTCGCTCCCGCGAAGCACTCTCACGCCTGGTACGGCGCCAAGAACGACAAAGCGCAGACCTCCATTCAATCCAGGCCTCTTCATCACGGTGCTGCGCTTGACGCGAAGCCCTCGTCCAAAGCCGCGCTGTCTCTTTTTCTGAAGATGACCTGGGTGACACTTCCTTAGAACGTTTACTTTTCCACTCTTTTGTCAAAGATCGGCAAAGAAATTCGTGCACCACTTTCTCAAGAGCCAAAAGCAAATGCATAAAGAGATCGTCCAGAATAACGTGTTCCTCACCATAGCAAGATGGAATACCGTTCCCATTACCGCTTACTGCAACATCTGGGTTAGTAGCACCGTACAAAGCTTCACCTCCAGAAGAAGCAATGCCCCGTAACAGCCGAAGCAATTTCTCGCGGATGATAAAGGAACTATTTGGAGTTTCACCAGCCCCACTTCTCGAGGTACAACCATCGCCCTCATCGTGCGGCAAAGAAGCACCTGACCTCTCTCTTATATTATGCTGCTCTCCATCTGATCCACCCTCGTGCGACAAGAAAATCATCCCGCCGGCGGTGCATTCGTTGCTGCCCATAGCCGTTAGCCCACTTGCCTTCAACGGAGAACATTCACATACGGAATTACCATCCAAATCCACTGCCGAAGAAACACCGGGTACAACACATTCACTTGGCTCCTCCAACGCCGCCACTAATGGAGTTGGCGGTTCTTGCTTCACAGTCAACGGTGGCGGCGGCGGTGCTTCCTTGGCTGGCAGTGGCAGCGGCGGCGGTAACATGATTTTGTTCTCCAGCGTCTTTCCTTCTCTCCCCCCCCCCCCAAAAAAAAAAAAAAAGAAAGAGGGAAAAGCCTTAAAAAACACAGCAGAAATTGCAGTTATAATAACAAGAAATGTGGTACATGAAAACACAAAAGATTAAAAGGCAGATACTTTGACCTCACCAAAAAAAAAAAAAAAACATATATGGCAAAATAGGATACAACAATCAGCATCAATATCAAGTGTGATTCCTTGGATACTGAGAAGGATAAATGAAAAGAGCCTAAACGTACATGCCCATGCAGTCCTTCACTGAAAAAACTCCTCCAACTGCTTAAAGGCATTAGCAGACTCTGATGAGGAATGGGAATGCGTTGTAGCAAAAGAAAAAAAATCATCCATGACATTACCAGCAGCACCGGCAGATCCTTGGTAGCTCCCTAGATCAGATGAGCCCCCCATTGCAGCTGTGGCATTCCCTGATTGCTTATTAAAAGAAAGGGTATCAGGAACAGGCGGAAGCTCCACTGCACGCGTGACAAGATCCATCGAAAACGGGAGAGGCTGTGCTTGAAAAACAACGCCCCCGCAGTTGGTCTCGTTATTACATGCAAAAAGTAAAGATGGCTGTTGCTGTTGCTGTTGTTCTGGCGACGGTGATGATATTTCCTCTGGCATGCTAAGCAGAGTCAGTCGCTTGGATTCAAGGACCGACCAAACGCCCGAGTCTGCTGCAAACAGCTGTCCAAACTCCAAAAACCTTTTTAGTTCATCCACAGATGGCCCCGACGCCGTGCCGCCACGCCCTCCTGTTGTATACATCGAATCCGTTCTTGAGTCCAGAAGTGTGTGGTAGCGACCAAACTGATGGATAACATCTAAGGGTAGTCGCCGACAAACAACAGAAGGTGTTGACTGATCGTCACTCGTCGATAGGGAACGTAACGCATCACTGTCCTCAACGTAAGCACCATACAAGTTCGAACATGTTCCGCAAAGGTCATCGTCAACGTCAGTGGCCGCTGTAGCAGTTGGCGATAAGGGGATCGTCGGGTAACTTAATTGCTGAGTTGGCGCAAATGCGGCGGCGGTGGCGGTGGCATTGCTTTTAAATGTCTTACTCAATGATGCGGGTTTATTGGGGTCCTTTTCATAATTCGTCTTGTTTGCAAAACTTCCATACGCCTGTACAAATACCTGCACGGGAATTCGATTATAGCGTGAAGCCAGGCTATTCTTTACCGCCTTCGTTGCCTTAGAAAAGAAGGAACGCATTGAATTCTTGCCACCGCTGCTGCTGCTGCTATTACCGTTGTTACAGCTAAGACTACTACCCTTGATGGTGGTGGAGCTGTTGCCCGTTGTGAAGAACACACTGGCACCTTCACTCAGCCGTGCCAGATCACTGCCTTGTAAATCACTATAAAGCTCCGGAAAACGCCGCATGCTGCGTGTATAAAATATACGCAACATTCCAAGCATGCGAGGGTGTGAGAGGTAGTAGTGAGTTGCAGGTGTCTCCCTTTCGCGTGGGGGTGAATTGACAGGGCCTCGTTGGCGTGACCGGAGACGACTTCGTACAAACTCCCCAACAAGAGAGCGCAACACTCCAACGGTTTCAAGGGATGCGACCGTGTCTTCCCAGTGACAAAACATCCGCGTTCCGGCAATACGCCGCGCGAGTGTTGCGTTGTTCTCAAGATTGTATGGCAGAAAGCGTGTGTAGTCTATAATAAACGCAACACCACCCTGTAATCGCAACCTATGTGCAGGGCTACCGCCAGCGTCTCCAATGCCGTTACTCGCAGGAATCAGCCCTTTCCTGTAATTTCCAACGAGACGAGTAACGCTATACTCAAGAAAAGCCCCATGCATTTCTTCCAAATCGGCTAAAGCGACACATTGTTTCAATGTGGATGACCACAGAGAGCCAATTCCCAAGTCCTGTGCGGCCGTTGACGAAAGTGCCACAGAAAACAATTGTCGCGCTTCTTTGGAAACAATCCGCTTCATTGCTTCCTTCACCTTTTCACTTGGAGGCACCAGGTCCAGCATGGTAAATGGAACAACGTCTGCATCGAGGGGAGAGACGCCAACCACACCCGTGCGACCATCCGCAAACCAGATGCGACCCCTTTCATTCTCTGCAACCTTTTCATTAGAAGAGGAGCACCGCTGGGGGCTGGAGAGACCGCTGTGAAGCATCAGGTGCGGTACCATTTCAGCTGTTGACCCCAATATGAACCCCGAGTCTCCAAGTGCCTCAAGAATCTCACATGCCTCGGGCGGCATATATGGAACAATCGGCAGCGTCCAGATGAACGGAGAAAGCATCGCCTGGACGCTCACAACACACGCGGAAGCGTGCTGTGGTGTCGCTCCGATAAATACCACTCGCCTCTCCTGCAAAAGAAGCGAATGGATGACACGGAGGGCATCGTAAGAAAAACTCAGGAATAGGGTGGACAGTGGGGCATTGACAAAAGGGTAGCGCAAATCATCTGGGCGAACAATGGAAACCCTTGTATGCGAAAAAGATAGATAAAAGTGCCTGTTTGCAGGTGTGCTACAAGCGGCACTTCGCGTATCCACGATTTCCCTTAACGGCGACATGACTTCAGCGTAAACTGCAGAAACGGTTCTTTTCTCCTCAGCCCGCGAAACGGTGCGACGATCGAAATAAAAATCCCTCGCAGCGCAAAAAAGATGCGGCACTGTTTCAAGGACCACCGTGCGCAGCATGTTGAACAAAGGCGAAGTGGAAAAGGCGGAAAGCATCAGACCCTCCGTTGCATACCCCACATCCACAAATTGAGCAAAGCCGTATATATAACCCTCATCAAAGATGTCAGCGCTTTCAAGGTCAATGCTCTCGCAAGAATCACCCTTATTTTCTCCATCCCTCCACCAGCGGCTACCAAGGCTATTGTAGTATATCACATCCATTGCCGTACCACTTGTTGCAGCACGCATACATTCAGAAGTGAAGTGACAGGACGGGACTTGCACAAAAATACCCTCCTCCGCAACGGGTGAAGTCGCGCCCACCCAATGCAAATCATGCCTACCAGTGGCGTGCCTCTGAGCCGCCAAATTCCCCAGCTTCACCAATAGCGGCCAACAAAATCTTCCCAATACTGAACGAAGCAAGGTACATTGCTCAATGATCCCCTGTCTCTCACATTTGCCGGCATCCCCATCCTCCTTGATGACAATGATCGGTTCCAATTCGGCAGATGAAGCTAATTTGTCCCCCAATCCATTCCCACTGCTTTCAGAAGCAGGAAACCACACACGATGTAAAGAAATTGTGTGCGCCAAAGCGGAAGGCTGCATTGCTTACAGAAACCGCCAATCCAGCAGGGAATGGAGAAGACTAAAAATAGCTAACTCTCACGGCACAAACAAAAAGAAAAAAAAGGATTAACAAAGCAAAAAAACAACAACAAAACAGCAATACTAAACAAAAAAAAACACGATGACTCCTCCCACCTCTCACGGAATTCATATACCGTTTTAATTATTGGATTAAATAAGCGCCCGAAGTACGCCTTGTCCCCTGTTCCTGCAAAAAAATAAATAAATAAATAAATAAATAATACAACAATGGGGAGTTACAGTTTGGCTCAACGTACCCAACACACACACACACCTCAGTTAAGGTCAATCCAAGGCCAACACACCAGTAAAAAAAAAGTAGTCCATAAAGCTTGTATGTGTTATACCAGGGCCCGTTGTAAACTCACAAGTTTGCATTGTTTTCACAGCCCCGCAATCACCGGAACCCTCCGTGTGGAAGGCAGGCAGAAGGGAAAAAAAAGGAAAAAAGGAAAAAAAGGAAAAAAAAATTCCTTTGGTGTCTTACAACGCAGTTTCCTTGGAAATAAAACACGACCCATGGATGAAGAAAGTAGCGAAATGGAAATATACGCCATATTTTCTGCTCAGGCCCGTCAGACCGCACAATTTTTCTAAACGCCATTAGAAAGGCTTTGGCTGGGCAGCGTACGCTACCCACGACGACTCACAAATTATTCTGAGTTGTTAATGTGCCGCGCAAAGCGAGGCAGCGCAAAGGAGGCCTTGTGCATTTCCGAGTCGTAGTACTTCAAATCCTTCGCAAACGGCATATCCTCAACAGGACGCAGTGGCTTCGTCACGTCCACGCCGGCCTTCTTAGAACAAACAAGTGTTCCAATTGAACCACAAGGATATGTGGGCACGTGCATTAATGCATACTGCACCGACGCAAAGCCAGTCTCCCTGATGAAACGAGACATCTTCTCAATAAGCTCAAGATCCAGCCAGATGGACTCTCCTTGATTGCAGCATATGCCGTCCGGTTTCAGGATACGCAGCACGTCCTTGTAAAACGCCTCCCCAAAGAGCTTCGATGCAGGTCCAGCAGGGTCCGTGGTGTCAATAATGACCACATCATACGTGTTGTCTGGGGTCTGTCTTACAAACGCCAAGCCATCTCCCACACGGACCGTTGCTCGAGGATCCGCTAGGGAGCGGGAGATCTGTGGAAAGTGTTGCTTGCTTTGTTCCATCACTTCGCCGTCAATGTCGACGAGATCACAGTGCTCCACGGTGCCGTGCCGCAACACCTCCCGCAGTACGCCGCCGTCCCCACCACCAATGATGAGCACTCTCTCTGGCTTCGGATGGGAGCAGAGACTGGTGTGGCCAAGCACCTCGTGGTACACAAACTCGTCGTAGTCCGTGACCTGAATGCAGCCGTCGAGCGCCATGACAGTGCCCCATGGGCCCTTTGGGTCGCTCTCAAAGATGGTCAGGTGTTGGAACTTTGTCGGGGCGTCGTACAGAACCTTCTCCACCCTCAGCGACATGGCTTGCCCGGGCCACTGATCATTTTCCTCGCGAAACCAGCCGCCAGAAATTAGTTCGGAACCAGGCATAATTTGATGCTGCAAATCGCCTAGCGTTACTGCGCTGAAAACCGCAGCAAAATGTAAAAGAAAAAATAAGAAGTTGAAGAGAAATTATATATATATATATATATATATATATATATAAGCGCCCGAAGTAACAACAACATAAAATAAAACAAGCACTGAATCCAGATATTTGCATTCAAGTGAATATCCTGCGTCTCCATGTATTGCCAAAGAAAGACTCTTGCATTTCTTTTGTTATTTATAATCATTTATACCCCCATTCTTTATATTACCAACACTGATTCCTTATTCACGCATTGGGGCTCAGTTTTTCCACCGTGACGAGAAAGACGAGTGTAACAAAAACAAGTGCCTGAAAGCCATTCAAAAAAGCTTGAAGGCTCCGCATTCCACCGTGTACCTCCAACACGCAGAGACCAATCGCAATCGACATCAAAACTGCAGCCGGCCCTATGGAGCGTACCTCATTTGACGGCTGCGAGAAGACACAGATTGGAATGACAACAGAGAGAACAGACGCAAAGAGAACCATGGTATTTTTCATGAGTTGGTCACAGTCCACCATCCATAACGAAGTTGCTCCATCAGATATTTCTCTTTCGTTAATATGACTCGTTACTTTTGATGCCCCCTCCATTTCGTCATCCTGCTTCTTCTTCCTTTCACCCGCCACAACATATTCAACGCGGCGTATAAGAGCAAGGAAGAAGGCATTCAATGAAAAAAGCAGCAGCAACGTAAGAAGGATGTCTGAGCTAACCCCACGGGATGGTGATGCCGGTGGCAAAGACGCTGCCTTCTTATAATCCCTAAATACTTCAAAGGGGTTTCGTTTCAATTCTTTTCTTTGTGAATGCCCCCAGAGTTTTTGCATAAACTCCCTGGTCAACTGAGAAAGTGACACATCCCCGGCAGCAAAAAAAACAACCCTTAGACACACAATGTGACACGCAAAATACAAAAATAGCTCTACTGTGAAGAAGCGCCACAGTGGAGCAAATAGTCGTAATGGTAATTTCCGTTTTTCGTTGCCTCCAGAAACGAGCGCCGTATCACTTACACGTGTCATTTATTTGCTGAGGCCGGATTTTTCTCTCTTCCTTTCACCTATCAATTCCAATTATTATCAGGCCTTAACTTTTGCACCAATAAAATGACAATTCCCTCCAACATGTACAAATCATGATTAAAAGCAAAGAAAGCAACAAGAAGACAAAAATAAAATAAATAAATAAATATATATATATATATATATATATTTCCTGCACCCCATCAAAAAAATGCAGTGCCTTGAAGTAAAACACCACGCAGGTAAATAAACTATGCACGCTCTTCTCAGCAAACCTGCGACCACCAAAGAGGCGATGTTTTGTAAAGAGGGTAAAACATGTATTTATTACGAGGAATATGATTTCCATCCACACGCACAAATATTCGCATAAATATATACACCATCCAAAATAAACAAAAGACGTATTATTCCTATGACGGTCTTGAACTCAACGTCTCTCAAAATTTAAAGGCATCAACTCATTTTACTTCAGTTTTTTGTTTTGTTTTGTTTTTGACGGAAACAGAACTAACGACCTCTACCAATACCTCAGTCCTTTCCATCTTCAACTTTCATTGAATCATCATTCTCACGTTCGTCCTCTTCGTCTTCGGTGGGTGTGAAACTTTTCCTGGTCCCCTCCTCCAATCTCGGCCGCGCTTTCTTTGCCTTCTTTTTGGCTGCTTTGGCCCGCTTTTTCTGTTGCCTTGCGTTAAGAGCCTCCACTTTGGCTTGATGCGCCTTTTCCCGCTCCTTCCTTTCTAGGAGACGATCAGCCTCAGCTTGGTGACGTTGCCGCCGCTCCGTTTCCCGTTCCTCCGCGAGGCGGGCATGCTCGTTCGTCTTTCCACCTGCCCCAGCAATTGTCGACTGTAAACGCGGCAAAGAGCGCATTGTTGCTATACTCTTCACATATCGATCATGCTCTGCTTGCAGACGCCTTTCCCGGGCTTTCTTTTCTTCTTCTGATAAAGGTGGAAAATCCGGCATCACTTCATATTTCAGCCCCAATTCCTTTCTATCAGCGGTTACTTAAGTTCTTCTATTCAGTAAGCGTCTCGCTCAGTTTCCCTCTCTCTCTCTTTTTTTTTTTTTCGTTTTGTGAGTGAGGCAGAGAAACAAATCAAGAAAAAATTAAAAAAAAAAAGGCGGTCAAAAAATAAAAATAAATATTAAGCTCCTTTTCAAGAGGAAAAGGATGTACGTGGATATGAAGAAGGAGGGAATGAAGCCACATTCAAGCACCCAATATTTTCTTCTATTTTCCTCACATAAGGAAAAAAAGTAACAAAAGGCAAAGAAAACAAGGCAAGGCATCACTTCTTTGTTCTTTCTTTTCTTGATTTCTTTCTTCGTGCTTCAGACTCACTCGCCGCCATCGTACGAGGAAGAGGAAATTCATCCTTTGGGGCGGGGGACACCGCAGCGTGCCGAGAGCGCTTCCGCGTGACAGCAGCGGATTTTGGCGTCCCCGATAGTTGTCTTTGACTCGATGACGCTCTGCGAGTAAGCGGCGCGGTTTGTGAAATGGGTTTGGTGGACATTTGTGTAGCTGACTCATTTGTTGGCGTTTTCACGCCATCGGGCGGCGCACGAAGACTCCGGTGCCCCTTCGTAGCAGATTGAGAACTCTCTTTGCTGATGACATCATCTCCCTTCGCATTAGATGAGAGTGGGGTGGCAAGATGACGACCCCTGGGTAGCTGGGGTAGCTCAAATCCACCAACCTGCAAGGGTGGGGGTGGAGAAGGAGGGTTAGTGGATGGTGTGCGAGCACAAAAACGTTTTTGCTGCTGCTCAAATGCCTCTTGTGCCTTGGCTGCCCATTCGTAGTCCTTGAAGGAAGGCGATGGTGACACCGAAAGTGGCTTCTCATTTTCCTTTCTAGAAGAGGGAAATATTTTTGTTTCTTCAAACCTGTCAGAATTAGGACCACTACACGGCTCCTGGGGTAATGCAAGAGGAGACGCCTCTTTTCTGCCTTCACCTAATGACAAGGGACATGTAACCTGACCATCACCATGAGTGTCATTAGTTATATTCATCTCTGGGGAACACCGCCCATCACTCTCCTTCCCCCGGAGATCCTCTGAAAAAGGGGAAGAGAAAGTTTTTTCTGTAGGGGCTGAAGAAATCCGGCCTTGTGTTGTCGGAGGTGTCATGGTGTCATCTATTTTACCATGACAAGCAATCTCCGTATCGAAAATCGCGGAAACATCCTCTGGAGATTTTTTTATCAAAAAGGAATTGCCTCTGCTCCCCGACGCCTCACAATCTACCTCGCGTTCGCCCGTTGCAGCTTCCGCAGTATCAGTTACCCGAGTGCAATAAAACGCTGGGGGGCAATACCGTCGCGTCTTCCTCTTCGGTTCATCCACCACCTCCAATTGTGTCACAGGCGTCATGCCAACCGTTGTATCATCCGTTTTCCTTCCCACTGGTGTTTCGCTGCTGACCGTCCCAAATTGGGGTTGAATGGAAAAGGAGGGTGACACACCTCCCTGACCACGAAAAGAAGGCGAACCCTCTGAATAAACCATCGCTTGCTCACTATCAAATTGAGCAGAAACATCTTCCGGTAACATAATCTCCTTCTCATTTCCATCCTTCCCATCCCCTAATGCCCCATCCAGCACTTCCTCATCCGTGACGCGCCGTGGCTCTATTGGATTCTCCCATCGCGGCCACTGGGAAGTGGGGTTGCTCGTCAAACGAGTCGGATCTGGTTGCGGGTAACACAACATACCACTGCTAACTCGAACACCAGCAGCGTGATAACCAGAAATGTCACTCCCCTCGTTATTGTTATCATCATTACCATCGCCCAATTTCAACGCGTCACTCGCAGGGTTATGTGCTACATAAAAATCAGCATGAACAACATCTGAATCTAGGTGTTTTTCCATGACGTTGTCTTCCTGAAACTGCAGGGTTTTTTCCTCAGCAACTGCTCGGTAAGGAATCTTTGATAAGAATATATCTCTACTTGTCGATGGGCAGCCCTGTCCAGCAGATGGCATGGACAGAGGCGACGATGAGGGTTGAGATGGGGCTGGAGGGAAAGTGAACAACGGTCGATGATCAACCTCAGACAAATAAGGATAATATTGGCACTTTCTCCGTTCGTGCAGAGATAGTGGAGGTTCTCGTTGCATTGTGGTGTTATTTCTTTCCTTGTTGTAGTCGTCTAGAGTTGCGATACTGTTTCCCTCACTGAAGACCTCCTTGTGCTTCCGAGGCAATGCATCAGATGAGAAATGCCTTAGCGCGGTTCGAGAGAGAGCTGAAACCCCTCCTCGCCCACCCTCCAATATCGATGCATCATGGATAAAAGGCTCCTCATTTTCACCGGTTTGCGGACGTTGAAGTAAACAAACATTTTTCTGACCTCGTTCCGCTGGAAGATCCGCCGCCGGGGATTGTTTTCTTTGCTGCAAGCAGTAAAGAATCATCTTGTCCACTGTTGGAGACGCGGTTGCAACGCCGTATGACCGTTCCCAAAGAAGAAAGGTACAAGAGGAACGAACCGCCTCCTCTAATCTAATATTTGATCCATAAAAAGCAGTTAGTGGACTCAGTTCTTCTGGTCGCATCATTTTTACATTAATCCTATGATGTACAATTTTCTTTTCTCTATATTCACTATGTTAAGAAAGATATTTAATCCGTTACAAAGATCAAACCAAAATAGAGCCAAATTAAATGCAAAAAATAAAAATAAAAAAATGGATTTTGACTTTCAAAAAGAAGATGGAAGAATTACCGGAAATCAAGGGCTCTACATGAGCCATCTTGAGTCTTTTTTTTTTCTTCGTTTTTCCTTCTTCTTTTCCGTGTTACGCATAACCCCTCCCTTACTTCAGTATAATTTTTTCAAAGGAAAAATATAAAAAGATTATAGGTGGCAAAATAGAGATTTATATATGCATCTACATATCTATTCCATTTCGCTTAAACAGCTAAAGAAGACCAAAATCCTTCACAAGCTTCCAGAAAAAATAAATACCATCACCCCAGTTATATTTCGTCAAGGTAAGACGTACAAGGCTCCGGCTTCGAATTTTGTTTCTCCGTTTTTGGTTAAGGAATTAAAGTCGAAAAAAATCACATAACATTTTAACGTGAAACCTTACAAATTATTTTCCCTTACTTTACATTTTTCTTATCGAATATCTTCATTGATATCGTTGTTACTTGCTTTTATTGCTATTACACATTTAATACTTATTTTTAGCCCTTTATCAATTCAACCTTATGGCTTATGGCTTGGAGACGTTCCTTAATCATTCCCGCAAAAGTCACCATGAACAACGTCTGCCAAGCGGATAGTCCCATTCTCGGTATTATCCCCGCATAGAAACCTTTCAATCCATATGTCTTGTACACATATGATACACAATTTCGCGTGGTTACACCTTGCTCTCCCGTTGCTTGTCGAGCTTGCTGCAAAACACGCACAACCTCAAAGGGCTGATTTATACATCCCAATACACCTCCCATGATTCCACAGAATATCTCTTCAGGTGTAGTTAATTTTTGCCGGCCCACCAGCTCTTTATACTTGTTTGTGAAGGCAACGGCAAAGAACCATCGCAAAGCCCAGTTCGTTCCTTGACGTCCTGCCATAGCCGGTGCGGATCCATAAGCCTTACGAAAACCAGCTTTCCTCAGCACTGTAAATAAGCTCATCGAATGATATTGTGGGTTGCGGTTTTTATACGTTACAACATATGTCATGGGAGACATCACGACTGTTTGCATAACACCTCCGACGAAGCCCGCCAACATGCCACCCATTGCACCGTGTGGATTAACACCAAGCATCGGCTCCAACTCCAGTGTCAAATTGGTACCAAAAAGCAATATAGAGCCCTTCAAAGCGGCCTCCACCATTTTCGCCCCAGTACCATGATAAAACCGACCCCAACCACTCTCACAAAGTGTCTTAAACTCTACTATAAAGCTATTCCATTGTCCCTTAGCAAGACCAGAAATCTGTTGAGTCTTCCAAACTTCAAACGGCATGCCAAGGGTGAATGCCTCAGTACACTGAAGAACGCCACCAATAAGGATGTCGCGCGGATCACCAGCTCCCATCCTTTATGTTATATATGTATATATATGGATATAGATATATAGAGATATTGTTATTATTATTATTATTATTGCTCCGTGTTATCTTCCTTGTCGCTATTTTATTTAAATAAGGAATATGAGCCAAACTGTTGTTGCGTTCTTTTCCTTTTGCGTTTTCCTATGAAGTATAAAATAATAAAAGTAAGAAAGAAGGAAAGAAATAGAGAAATAAGCAAAGTGCTAACCATTACATTGTACATACCATTCAAAACATCCGCATAAAACATGTTTGCAGTAGTACGTTCCTTTTATTTCATCCTCCCTGAAAACCAGACATTGATACTTGTTATATTGAGCAGTATTTACTCAATAATATAAATATATACATGGCATTGTTAATATAATTATTATTATCAATTATTATTATTATTATTATTATTAGTAGTAGTAGTAGTAGTAGTGTTAGTATAAAATAAACAAGAACGCGTATCGCAAGCATGTGCCCTGCTCTGTATAACTAATGGATTTACTATCTATCATTAACCCACCATTCATTCTTCGCACAGACTTCCAAATATGTGCAAATATCCTGAAAAGAGGGAAGTTAATGATCCACTATATCATATATAAAAAGAACCTAGAAGAAGTTCAAATTAAGAATAAAAACTGAAGTACAATTTAAAGCAACATTCGTAAGCAGATCAAACAAAGCAATTACATTCTTTAAGTTTTTTTTTGTTTGTTTGTTGTTGTTATTGTTTTTTTTTTTTTTTTTTTTTTTTTTTTTTTTTTTTTTTTTTTTTAACCTTTAGGACAACTCCAGTTTAAGATATTCGTTACCATCCAAGTAAAATAATCGTAATAAAATTATTATGGACAAATCCAACTACTACATCTACAATAATATTGTAAAATCATGACAGCAAATGAATAATTCAATATCAGGGAAAATCCACGCGCCGAAAGAAATTTTACCCTAATCATGAGTTTTTTTTTTTTTAAGTAAAACTCAAAAACGCCAAAAAAGGAAAAAAAAAAAAAAAGAGAAAGAAAGTAAAAGAAGCCCTGATTGAAAATATATATATATATAATGCTTTCAGATAAAAGTAATGAATAGTTTGTCAAATAAAATATTTTGTTAATTCATCAATGCCAATTTGAATACCCCATACACACGATCGACTAAGCGTACTCAGTAGAAAATAAAATGGATACGCGGGAAAAAATAAAAATAAAAAAAACTGAGTAGTAACCCTGAAAACTTTAGTGAAAGATGATGAAAACCAATTATCAAATATCGGTTATCGAGTAAATAATTCCTTTTATTTTTTTTTTCCTCCATTAATTCGATGTAATCAAAAACACTTAAGCATTTTAAAAAATCAAACCGCAACGTGCAATTTCACTCATTTTCAATACGTAAAACAAAACCTGAAGAAATTGAAGGGAATGCATGTATGCACGTATATTCCGTTTTAGTAAAATAAATCTGGAGAGCGACACCTCAAAAAAAAAAAAAAAAAAAAAAAGGACAGAAAGAAGTAGAATATATATATATATATATATAATTCAAGCATTCTTTTAATAGTTCTTTTTCCAGTCATTTACTTTTGTTGTTGTCTAAGCCGCATGTATCAAAAGAGAAGTTTTTTCCCTTTATCGTGGATAAAGGCTGCAAGTGGCGCCTGAAGGACCCTTTCTCGTGCTATGCAGACTCCATCACCAAAAGAAATGAACATCTTCACATTTAGCAGCAAAAAAGAGTTCTTAAAAGAATAACAGTCGCTAAGCAAAATTCGAGCAAGGAAACGGAGGTCCTTGAAATCTTCTGGAGAGCCAACAAATCCAAATAATTGCAAGCAACAGATCTCTAAAAGGCCAAAAATAATTTTTGCACTAATCCGAGTCTAATAAAATAATCGCCACAATCCCTTCTTGTAAGAGCCAAATCTCAATAAAAAAAAGTCTAGGAAAAAAAAAAACAGAGAACAAAAAAGGTAATGGAAATTTTGAAACAAACCAAAAAATAAATAGAGAAATAGTAATGTTTTTCGGATTTTCTAAAGTTCAGGATCGCCAAAAAGACAAAAGTTCATACTACTATAATTAAGTAACAAAATCAGCCTTTGAGGACCACCAACCCCCACCATCTAAAAAACGTACTAATAATATTTTTTTTTTTTTAATAAACCTCCCAATCCCCGCCCTTTCACTTATGTCCACCATCCTAATAATATGAATCTTGAAACCTATTTCCTACTTCACCTCAGCATATTGAGGAGCTTGTCCGTATCTATACCACCACACACAAAGGGTAACAAGAAATGCAAAGAATGTAGAGATAAAACTCGAATACCAAATAACTGCCATAAACTCCTCATCGGTGCCAGGGCGCGAGTTTTGGTGCATAGCGTTCTCTGTAACTCCCACCAAATTTGAAGACTCGCAAACAAAAAGCACACGGGTCCATAGGTCTTGAATGTGTTTTTTGTAGTCGTTACTCATCTTCTTACTCGTCATATAGCTCGTGAGTCGACGCACTTCGTATTCATCCTTGGGGATAATACTTCCCATATGGTCCAATTCCACAGTGTTTGTGATGGTCGCCGCATAGCATCCTTTCTTGAAGCTCATCTTGTCCTTCATGTATCTCTTCACAATCTCGTTGAACCGAATCTCTGCTGCCGTGCGTAGCTTCAGTCGAAAAACATGCCGACGAAGAGGATAATATACCTTCCCCATTTCCTTATAGACAAACTTCTTGGCAAGAGGGCTGGTATAGTTGCACATTGGGTTTGACTGACCCCCAAAGGTTGCCGCAGCTCCCCCAAGGGTCATGTTACCAAAATTCATTGTCATTTTCTTTGGTTTTCGAAACTGTTGTTTCTACTAAAAAAAAAAAAAGGAAGGAAAAAATAACATAAATAAATAACAGTAAGAACAACATGTGTTTTTTCGCATAACCACTATATATATATACAAGTTTATATCAAAAGGATTCTTACTCTTATTTGCTTATAAAGCATCGAATATTCATCTGGGCCGCTGGCCGGACCCTGAAGTTATAAATAATAGAAACCAAAAAACCTAGGAATAAGAAAGGGATGAATGGAATAAGAGTGGATTCACCACATTCCCAAAGTGTAACAGTTAGGAAATGTTTATTTATATTATACCATACGTTAGCCTCAATCGTGGCCCGCTCACTCTATTCGGATAGGATACATATTTATTTATTTATTACTTACGACGTGGCAGAATTTTGGGGTCCTCCAGCCACAAGACCTCGCCGCGCGGTGGGAATCAAGGGGCGGTATGGTAAAAATAAAAAATAAAAATAAAATAATTACAGGCATCTAGTCGTTATTAGTTACCTAATTCCTAGAATCGCGGTCAAGCAAGGAATCATAAAGTAGGGGAAAATGGTCGTACAGAGTTCACTTTATCAGTATATATAAATAATATTAAATTAGCCAGTTCGCCCTTTCAAGATTGCTTTCTAAAGCTCCTATGAAAATAATAATAATAATAATAATGCATATAAACAAACATTAGCAACAAAAGCCGCAGCACAATAAATAAATAATAATAATAACACAACGTGGGCAAAAATAAATTCCCCACGTCCACTCACATCCGAACAAGAAAGATGCAAAAATCCGAACCCCAAAAACATAGAAAAAGACGGATAATGGACGAGCACGCGCTACAAGAAGACGCCGCCGAACAGCAACTGGTTCCGGCCAACCGCCCGGCTTCAACGCGCCACGGGACGAAAAAAGGAGCCAAAACACAAAAGAAAACAATCCAAACAAAAAAATGAAACCCACGGGGAGCCCGCACACACGCGCGCCAAACGTGAATGTCGGACGCCTCCTTGGATAAAATAAAAACCGCGGCGTTCCGCTGGAGTTTAAAAAACTCATCAATTGCCTTGAAGAACGCCAGAACACACAGACGGCCCAGTGGTCTAGTGGCATGATTCTCCCTTAGGGTGGGAGAGGTCCCGGGTTCAATTCCCGGCTGGGCCCTTTTTTTCCCAGAAAGACGCGGACATAACAACAAAACGCGTTTGCCGCAGACTGAAGAACCGAAGCGGCCACTAGTGTTTTTTCGTGTTTTGGAGGCGGCGCAGTGGCACGATGTGGTTGCGCTGCCAATGAAAGAGGGCCGTGTATCTCCAGGAAAAAAGGTGGGCGTTCGTGGAGCAATTGGGACTGAGGCGGAGATTGGTATGAGCCAAAAGGTGTACATGTGGTTTGACCTTGCGCTCCGCCTGTTCCCGACAGCGGGGTACATTTCGAAGGGCGATGACGACATTTTTCTCCGTGTGCCGCTGTTCGTTGCTCACCTGCGCCTCCTGCCGCGCCGAAGGATCTACATGGGGGCTCATTGTGGAGGAAATATCTTGATGAATAACCGTTCATTAAGTGCGCATTTTATGGTTGGCTGGTGCTACACCTTGTCGAGGGATGTGGCGGAGGCGTTGGTTTCGTGCGAGCCGCTGCGGCGCCTGGCGTACCTACCGTACAGCAAGGAACGTGAGGAGGAGTTTTTTTCAATTGGTACGCAGCGCGAGGATGTCATGGTTGGGTGGGTTCTCGATAGGGTAATAAAGTGCCAGCCAATGATATACGTCAAGGTACTGCCCTGCCATTTCAATGACGCCCGTAATGGCACGGGGCACTCACAGGTGGTGCCGACCTCGATGTGTATCCATCACGTGCGGGAGGACGACTACGCAGCGCTGATGGCGCGCTTTGGCAACGACACATCGCCTGCCGCCCGTGTGTCATGGGTCTCAGAGGACGTAATATATCCCGTGTGCGATTGATATATGAAGGAGATGCTTTTTTATTTACTCTGAATGTATTGTCTAATTATTTGGTGTGTCCCAGTTGATTCTCTATGTACTTTGCGGCCGAATGACGTGAAATGTGTCATTGACCGCCCCGTGCCGCTCCCTGCCCTCGACCCGCGTGCGGAGCGCTGTGGTGGAGGCAGTGGGTGCCCGTTGTGTTGGGCTGCTGACGAGCCTCCGCTGGGAGCACGTGGCGTGGACGTGAGTGCGCGGGCCGGGCCACCAATGAACAATGTATATGGTTTTGTTTTTTTCTCATATTATTATACCGTTTATTTGCGGTTGGGAGGACTTGGGGCTGTTTTCTCGTGCGTTCGTGTGGTGTCTTTGTGAACGGGGCGCCTCACGGTGCGACTGCTGCCAGTGCTGGTGGTGAGGCTCCCGGCGTGTGTGGGAGGAGAGAGCGTGCCGTGACGCCCTCTCCGCCGCTGGTGTGCCTCGTGTGCGGGGCAAAGCCCACGGCCCACGGCCCCTTGCTTGTTGACGACGCAGCTGACCCTTTTTTCTTTCCCCGCGTGTTCTCTTGTAGCAGTGTGCAGAGTGTAGGGGCGGCGCTGCTGCACGAGCCGTGTGACGGTTGCGCGCCGGTGGAACGTGCCACGGTGGGGGGTGACTGCGAGCTGGCGAGTGCGGCTTCCCACAGGAGGACGCCGCGGGGATCTCTCCTTCACGCACTCCCCGCGCCCATGCGAGTGTGTTGTGCCGAGCCCGCCGACTGGAGAGAGAGGAGGGGCTGCTGTGGCGGGCTCCTGGACGCACAGAGCGCCGCGAGCAGCGAGGGGCCGTCACGGCTGCGGCGCGGGCGGGCGGGAAGCAGACGACGGACGGGGGACGGGCTTGCGGCGGCACCCTGCGTTGTGCGGGGCGCTGCTGGTTCCACCCGAGAGACGTGCGGACGCACGCTCCGCTTCTGGTGACGTCTTGGGTTTGCGCGTGCTCTCGCGGAGGGCATTTTTTGCGGTGGATGCCGCCAGGAGCCGTACGCACTGGCAATGCCGGCCGCCCCAGCGTGCTACCACGGCCAATTGGACCCGGTATTTTCGGGGAAGCCAAGAGCCAGCAATGTTTCCCTCATGGAGCTGTTTTTGGCACAGGGCTGGCGGCATCCACCAGCGTCCAAGCCAGCCGCGTGTTGCCGGGTCAAATTACAGCCCCATGGTGTCCGGGAGCACGCGTTGCCGTGCCAAGTGCGGTCCATAGAATTTATCTGCTAAATGGCTGGGAAAACAAAACAAAAAAGAGAAGAATTCTCTCATGTCCTTACACACTCTCCGCCCCTTTTTTATTTCGATTAGTCTCTCACACCAACAGCGACCATGGCGAAGCCGAAACTGAGGCGTAAGCTGAAGCGAGTAGCTGTGCTGCTGATTCTCTTCATTGCGGCCACGACTGTTCTGTTCTTCAGGTCCGACACCACTGCCGATGATGACGCGTCGGGGCCCAACAACCTCCGCCACTCGCGAGCCGCCGCCGCGGACGATGCAGCACTGGCTTACATCCCACGCAGTGCTGTGGAAAAGTGGGGACGGCAGGAGTATCTGGTTGTGCTGGGCATTCTCTCCCCGGACGACGAAGCGAGGCGAACACGACGCAATCTGCAGCGGACGACGTACTGGCGGTTCCCCGGAGTGGCGACGAGGGCGAACGGCTTCACCGGTGCGATGCTCGTGCTGTACGTCCTTGGGCGACACCCGTCGCACGGCTACGAATACTCTGCCGCGCCGCTGGAGGAGGCAGCGCAGTGGCACGATGTGGTTGCGCTGCCAATGAAAGAGGGCCGTGTATCTCCAGGAAAAAAGGTGGGCGTTCGTGGAGCAATTGGGACTGAGGCGGAGATTGGTATGAGCCAAAAGGTGTACATGTGGTTTGACCTTGCGCTCCGCCTTTTCCCGACAGCGGGGTACATCGCCAAGGGCGATGACGACATTTTTCTCCGTGTGCCGCTGTTCGTTGCTCACCTGCGCCTCCTGCCGCGCCGAGGGATGTACATGGGAGGCCACGTGGGTCTTGCGACTTTTGTGAAAAGGGGTTTACCAGGTAGCACATTTATGGTTGGCTGGTGCTACACCTTGTCGAGGGATGTGGCGGAGGCGTTGGTTTCGTGCGAGCCGCTGCGGCGCCTGGCGTACCTACCGTACAGCAAGGAACGTGAGGAGGAGTTTTTTTCAATTGGTACGCAGCGCGAGGATGTCATGGTTGGGTGGGTTCTCGATAGGGTAATAAAGTGCCAGCCAATGATATACGTCAAGGTACTGCCCTGCCATTTCAATGACGCCCGTAATGGCACGGGGCACTCACAGGTGGTGCCGACCTCGATGTGTATCCATCACGTGCGGGAGGACGACTACGCAGCGCTGATGGCGCGCTTTGGCAACGACACATCGCCTGCCGCCCGTGTGTCATGGGTCTCAGAGGACGTAATATATCCCGTGTGCGATTGATATATGAAGGAGATGCTTTTTTATTTACTCTGAATGTATTGTCTAATTATTTGGTGTGTCCCAGTTGATTCTCTATGTACTTTGCGGCCGAATGACGTGAAATGTGTCATTGACCGCCCCGTGCCGCTCCCTGCCCTCGACCCGCGTGCGGAGCGCTGTGGTGGAGGCAGTGGGTGCCCGTTGTGTTGGGCTGCTGACGAGCCTCCGCTGGGAGCACGTGGCGTGGACGTGAGTGCGCGGGCCGGGCCACCAATGAACAATGTATATGGTTTTGTTTTTTTCTCATATTATTATACCGTTTATTTGCGGTTGGGAGGACTTGGGGCTTTTTTCTCGTGCGTTCGTGTGGTGTCTTTGTGAACGGGGCGCCTCACGGTGCGACTGCTGCCAGTGCTGGTGGTGAGGCTCCCGGCGTGTGTGGGAGGAGAGAGCGTGCCGTGACGCCCTCTCCGCCGCTGGTGTGCCTCGTGTGCGGGGCAAAGCCCACGGCCCACGGCCCCTTGCTTGTTGACGACGCAGCTGACCCTTTTTTCTTTCCCCGCGTGTTCTCTTGTAGCAGTGTGCAGAGTGTAGGGGCGGCGCTGCTGCACGAGCCGTGTGACGGTTGCGCGCCGGTGGAACGTGCCACGGTGGGGGGTGACTGCGA